TATATATATATATATGTAGTGAACTAGACCAGAAGGTCAAAACCTTGACCTAAGGATCATTTGGGACAGAACTGTCATTTCATTGATTTGCATCCAGAAATACAGGTTGACCCATCCTGAGACTTTCTTTCTTGAAGTGATCAAGTAAAAGAAGACTATTCTCTATTATCATTACTTTTTTACAAATGTTTGATAATCAAATTGTGTTTTAGTTCAAACCATTTTTAAATGTTGAAGTGAACTAATCATTTAAATCAACTGTGAAACAGTAATAATGATTCTTAATCCTCATTCAAAGAAGAAATCAGGTTAATATGCATTTCTTGATTTTCTGTCTTTAATGAGCGAAGTTGTAAGTGTGTCGAAGTTCAAGTTTCGGTCAACTGAAAGTTTACTGAAAAGAAATGTCATGTTTAACTTTTACAGCAAGATACTGGGAGAATTGGCTCCACGAAGTCTGAATTCTCCATAACAATCTTTCTGTCTGTTCTTAAACATTCTTAATCTTTTCCTTGACTTTTCATAACACCTTACATCACAAAACACACCTCTGTTTTGGTCCACCGACCAATCAGAAGCTCTCAAATGAACCGGAAGTGACCTCTCTTTAAATGTTGACACTTCCTAGTTCAATCCAGAATTCAGGCTGAAGGAGTTCAGCTCAGTCTTGAAGATGGAGTAGCAGTTCTGAAACTCAGCAGTTCGAGAGAGTTTGGAGTTCCAGAGAGTTTGGAGTTCCAGAATGCAGAATGTTGGAATTCAGGATGCTGCTGAAAGAGAATCAAGCTGAACCAGAGACGATTTGGGAATTATAATTTCTGTTTGGATAACCTCACGACTCCAGAGGTTTTTAGCTGCTCTCACGGAGACGCTGAAAGAGTTGAAAGGAGAACTCTACACCAACGCTGAAACTATCTTCAGAGAAGGTAAAAGTTCGATCTCAACCAAGCGTACCGTTGGCCCAAGCTGATTTCCAAAGGAGCGTGCATGTTCTGGTTAAAACAGACAAATTCCCTCACACATCTCTCCGTAGATAAACCTCATCTTTCCATCTTTAAACTCTCCTATCTGCTAGCAAATTAATCCAGATGTTTTCAGAAATGTCTGTGGTGAAGCAACAGAAAATCATGGCCGTATGGTTTTCCTGGTTGTAAAGCTGATTAATTATGTCGTTATTCTCAATTCTTGCCAATTAATGTAAATGTGTGATGTGTTAAACTTGATTCTGTTAATAAATGACCCACTGTCGTGGTGAGTCAAAGATAATTAACGTCTCACGTCCACATTTTATTACATTCAATGCACGTACATTATACAGTCCAGAAAAATGAAAGAATCCGTTTTAACAGTATGAATATATCTCATCCGTATGTCATACTACATATATATGTATATATGTATATGTATTTGTATATGTATATATATATAT